CACACTCACACCAGAGACCCTCTAAGTGCCAGCACCTGGTTGAGACTTTGCTTATTACCTCATTTAAGTCTCACACTGCCCTCACCTTCTCCCCATCTTCCTCTGACAGGTGATGGAACAGGCTAGAGAAGTCAGGTGGCTCAAGTCCCCACAGGGCACTCCCTAGGTGACAGGGCTGACATTCAACCCCAGCTGGGCAGGTGGGGTGCAAAGCTTGTGCTTTCCTCGCCATGCTCTCAAACACAACTTCTTAACCAGTAGCATTTTCAAACATTAACAGCCCCTGATGAGGTTGCCAGATAAACTAGTGTGATGAAAAGGCACCTACTCTGCTAAGCCCCCATTCCTAGAATGAGCCCCTGTGACTCTTCACCTGCTGTTGATAATTCTGTGCCCAGCCTTGCTCGGCTCTCCCCCTTCTGAGCCTTGGGCCAGTGGGGCCCCTCCTATGGCTCAGGTCCATGCCGTGGATCTGGTACCATCCTCCACGCAGCTTCCCTGGGTTGAGCACCCACTGTCACTGTCCACTTGCCCCTGTCCACTGTCTCTGTCTTCCTGTTTCTGCCCCCCTTGCTGTTTGTGCTTTTCTGTTCTCCCAGCCACACGTCACTCAGACAATGTATCTCACCCACTGCCCTGCTGCTCTTCTTTTCACTGTTTCTCCCCACCCCAAATGCTTAGCTCTTCACTGCTGTGGTGTCCCATATGGCGTTCTCTGAGTCATTCACCAGGTCCAGTCTGGAGGTTTCCTTCTTCTGTTACCCAGAGCTCTTGTTTGCAAATGTTTCAGTTCGGAACCCATTGCCTAAACATAGTGGACTAGGGTAATAGGGTCCGTTTATATTGTAACAGCAAAGGAGCTGACAGCTGAAGGCCTTAGTTTGGCACCAAAATCATGCCATTAGAAATTCAGATTCCATTTTTCTTTTTACCATCTTTAGCATGTTGACTTTTGTTCTCATGCTCGACTGTCATGGTTGCAAGATGGCTGCCTTAGCCCTAACCATCACAACCATATTCAATGGAATAAATTAGTGAAAAGGCCCCTTCCCAAGACTTCTGATTATATTTTATTGGTCAAAGCTGTGTTATGTGGGCAACTATAGCTGCATGAAAGGTTAAAAAGTGAATAATTAGTTTGACAGTTTCTAGAGTAGAGGTAGGCAAAGGAGGAAAGGATTGGAAATGGACTCTGGATGAGTCATTCATCAGTAGGTAATAAAAAGTAATTCAAACTTGAGCAGAAGATGGAAATTGTCATAAGTATAGACAGGGTCTACACCGAGCTCAAGGCAGGGGAACAGCTGATTCTTGGAATAAACTGGAACTAGAGACATGAACATAGTCAGGAGTTTTCCTCTGCTGTCTTTCTTCCTTTCTCTGTATCTGCTTCAACTGTTTCTTTTACTCTGAAGACCAACTTCTACTTCATATCTGTCCCATGTGGCAAAGCAACAAGGAAACAAATAAATAAACAGGGAAAACCACAACCAGCTGGCTGAGAGTAGCTCTTGGCTCTGCATGTTACCGTCTAGAGTTCTGTGCCCAGACCTGGACAGTCAGCTACGGCTGTGTGTAGGATCATATGGTCACAGGTGGCTGCCCCAGGTGCAACTACGTGGAAGGAGGAGGAAGGGCACTCCCTGGAAAAGGGGGGCTGAGCAGACAGTTCAGGGACTGTCCACGTCAGCTTCCTTCCTCCCCAGGCGGCTCAGCTCAGATGCCTGCAGTGAGGGAGGGCAGCCTACCTTGCCCTGGCTGTTTTCCCCCACTCGTACCAGTGGTACTGACCATGGGTCTGACCCATTCTCTCCTGCCCTTCAAGTCACAGTCCCCCTCTGAAGCCCTACTCTTGCCTGCCCACTATGGGAGGGTGGCTCTCAGAGCCACGCTGGTTGCTGCCATTCAACTTTGGTGCTGTCCCCTTCTGTATGGGGGGCAAGAGATGCTCTGGGGGTTTGGGGTGGTGTGCTCTGAGCTCCCTCTAGTTCCCAGCAGGTGGCATGGGAAGAGTGGCTGTCCCTTCTTCACGGAGCTGGGCAGACCCAGTGCTCAGAGCAGAGTTCCCTGCTGGCTGTAACCTGCTCTGTTCCATCTTTGCAGATCCAGACCCTGTCTCTCAGGAAGGTGGAGGGTAAGCCTGCATGTGATGGTTTATAACAATTGTGGCTGTTGTTTGGCTTCTTCTCTCTCCTGTCTCTCACCTGTCAATTTACAGGGTGAGGGTGGGTCACGTGGTGTCAGGCCCTCTGGCTGGGTCGGGAAGGGTGAGAAGGCATTTGCTCTGGGTCGGACAGGGCTCCAGATGGTGTCTGTGCTGCAGGCATTCTCCACAGCTGGCAGGGTATCCTGCCTGGCCTGCTCTTCTCCATACGGTGGTGGAGACGTGGGGTGGGGTGGGTGAGGACCCTGGGGCCTGTGATAGATGGAGCAGATTCATGAACAGGCTCTTTCTAGGTCACTGTGCCTGTGGTTCAGGCCATGAACTTTTACATTGCTCCCAGCATGTGGGAACCACACATCTATGAGCACGTGGCCTGGTGGGAGTGCATACTGTCCTCCTCTGGGTGTCTAGTGTCTGTGTGGGTGCATGTGTAGGTGTGCATCCAGCAGAGGGCAGGTGTTGGCATCTGAAGGGAGACAGGTACCCACAGAGGACTGCTCCTGCTTGGAAGACCTTAGTCTGCTGCTTATGAGGCCTGGTGCTCTCACTGCATCCCACCTCCCCTGGCCTGTCCCTTTAGCTACCCTTCTGTCTTTTCCTATAAAGCCACACATCTCTCCTGTCCCCCACCTTAAAGCTAGACATTTCTTTCCCAGCCCTGCAAGCAGTCTGGAGGCATGTTCCCATGACCCCAGGCTTCCTGAGTGCCTCTAATAGCAGCTGTGTGCCATGTGCTTTGCCAACCACTTCTGATTCGCTGTTTCATTACATCGTGGGCCCATGTGATGTGCGGGGGTGTCGTTGGCCTCACTTTGCAGATGAGGACACCGAGGCTGAGAGAGGCTGCAGGACTCACTGCATGGGGCACAGCTAGGGCAGGGCAGAGGCAGCACGCAGCTCTGATCTTCCTGCCTCCAGCGTCTGTGCCTGTGACCGCTGCTCCCACTGCCTCTCTCTGGTGAAGAAACAACAGAGGGCTTGCTCTTTCTGGCTGGCCCTTCCATGGTGACCCACACTTTTCTCTAAGTCAGGGATGGCGTCCAGGGCATGGGTGCCACTAACTGCTCCTGCTCTCCTCAGGGATCCACGAGGGCCCGAAGGCTGTGGCCACTGAAGAGGACTCTTCTGACCAAGGTGGGGCCTCCTTTTCTTCTCCAGGCATCCAGTGCAGAAAACAGAGCTACTGCTCTATTCATTATTCAGTTCATGTCTGCTCGACTGAATCTGGCTCCCTGAAACTGGGGGAAAGGAACTAGGGATATGAAATAAATATTTCTTAAGCACCTTGTATGTGCCAGAGGTGTCCTACACAGGTGCTGACATGCAGTCTGCAGGGTCACTGATGGGGAAACCCAGGCCCAGAGAGGGTCAGTGCCTTGCCCATAGTCACAGAGCCAGCAGGTGGGGGACCCAGGATTTGGAGCCGTGTCTGATACAGAGCTAGTCCCTTGCACCTGCTCTGCCACCTCTCATCCAGTACTGCTCAGAGCAGTGGTTGAGGACACTGTCGTGGCTTAAGAGAGCCCTTGCTGTTGTACTCTGTGGGGTGAGTGTGCTGCAGACAATCACGCAGGGCCTGACTCTGTGCAGGGCCCCCCAGAGCTCCCTGCAGAGCCCTGGGTGCCTGCTGTGGTGAGTCACTTGGGCAGGGACTGACTTTGATTTGTAGAGCTCTCAGCCATTTGATTTTAGGTGATGCAACGAGGAAGTGAAAAAATAGACATGCTCCCTGACCATGGGATCCGCCTGGGACAGTCCGGGAGAAGGAGCTCCCAGGGAAGCTCTGAGGGAGCCCAGAGACTGCCTGCCCACCAGGGCCCGCCTGCCCCCGCCAGGCTGTGACCTGACAATTCCAAAGCGACCCAACACCTGCACCCAGGACAGGTCACCAAGGAGCCCATCATGGAGTAGACAATATTTTCCTTTACTTTTGAGATGGTAATATGTGGTCTTGCCAAAGAAAGGCAAGCAAGGAAAAGGGCACACAGTGAGAACTAGATCTCCCTCCTGCCTGGCTATCTAGGTTCTTCCCAGAGACCCACTGTTACAGGTTTCTCATCTATCTTGCCAGACATACTTGGTGCAGATATAAGCCCATATGCATATGCATTCTTTTCCTTTTCTCCAAATGCAAGCACAAACATATTGTACTGCATGTAGTTATTTATTTTCTTATTTGGGAAATCATCTCATATTCCTTTATGTAAAGCTGTTTTTTCAGGGCTTTGCAGTATTCCATTGGATGGATGAACCAATTTTTATTTAAAGTCCTCTCCTACTCCCACTCCCACAGTGCATTTAAACTTGGGAAATGGTAGTAAGAACTAGAGTTCCATTAACTTGGGGGAAAGGTGTCTTTGCATGACACAACCTGTTACTGGACCTGTTGCTGTCCAGAGGGGATGAACCAAATCCTCCAGCAGGGGGCGCTGAGTTCTAGTGAGGAGGAGGCTGAAAAGGGTGGGTGCGCAAGCCCCTGGAGCCTATCCTGCTGGGTGGAGGTCTCACGCACTCACACTGGGCTCAGCCTTTTCACGTGCTCGCTCACCTCTTCTCATCCCAGACCAGTTGGAGCAGCATCACTTGGAAAATTGTTCAAAATGCAGATGCTCAATTTCTCCACCTCATCCCACACAGACTGAATCAGAGATTCTGGAAGCAGGGCCTCGCAGCCTGTGTTTTCTCCCATCCTCCAGCACATTTGATTCTTGCTCAAGTTTGAGAACCACTGTGGACCAGTGGCTCTAGAACCAGGTGCATGTTAAGAATTACTCAGGTTGCTTGTACCTATCCGGAGGACCATGCTAGTCCCCCCACTACTGAAATCAGAATGTGTAGGAGGTAGACTCCAGGCATCAGCAGTATTTAAAACTCCCAGCTGATTCCAACACGCAGCCAAGGTTGGGGCCCATGCCGCAGTGCAGACCTCTCAGTGGAGAATCAACCTGGTGGGGCAGCTTGTTAAAACACAGGCTGCTGGGCTCTACCTCCAGAACTTCGGGTAGGATTGGCGTGGGACCTTAGGATCTGCAATCCTAATACATTACCAGGTGCAGCAATGCTGCCACTCACACGTTGAGAATGATTGCTCTAGAATAATTGGTTCTCAGGTTTGGTTCATTGTTAGAAGGTCTGGGTGGTTTTAAAAATAAATATTAAGGCCTGGGCCCACACTCAGAGGTTCTGATGTAATTACCTTGGGATGGGGCCCAGGTGATTCAAATACGCAGCCAGAGTTGAGGTTACCACCCTTAAATGTGAACTCCTTGAGGGTTTTCTTCTGTTTCCAGCACTGGCCTGCTTACTCTCATGTTGTCAGAAAATGTCTGTAAGTGCATCAAAGAGCTGGTCCAGCAGTAACTGCAGTGGACTGGAGATCCCTTCCAGGAGGCCTTCCCTGAGCCTGGACAGCCCCTTTGCAGCAGTTACCAAGTTGTGTTGTAATTGCTTATTTTGTTACCCTCTGGGTTGATATTTCCTAAGGTATGGTCTGTGGCTCACTTCCGTCAGAAACATCTGAGCAAATTAAAATGTTAGAAGGTCTGGGGAGTTTTAAAAATAAATATTAAGGTCTGGGCCCACACTCAGAGGTTCTGATGTAATTACCTTGGCCCTTCTGCAGGTCTGTGGAATCAGACTCTCTGGAGGGTGGGGGCTGGGAGGATGCGTTTTTAACCCATGAGCTGCTGAGGTGTGCTACCGCCTGAGGGAGAATCCCGATCCACACAGTCAACCCCAGGGGAGCAGGGACCTGTCCTATCCTGCCCACCATTTCTGCCTCTGGACGGGATGGAGCCTGGCATGTCAGTGGAGTGGGGACATTGGGTGGGGCCAGGATTATGCTGGAGCCAGCGGTAGGCTGGGCCTAGAATCCAGGAGCAGGACTGAAGTGCAAGTCAGAAAACCTGAAAGACCCCAGGTAACCTGGGGTGGGTCTGAGCCCGGATCTTGGAGGTCCAGACGGCACAGGATGAGAACCCCGAAGGTGGGTGGGGGGCCTGAGGCAGTGGTACCCGGGGACAGAAACACCCCATCTTATGACCCAGGGATGGACACTCAGGTGGGGTCTGCAAGTCCTGGGCTCCCAGGCTGAGTGTGGACCAGGTGGCTGCAGGCAGCGCTTTGGGAGTGGAGGTTTCGGACGTCCAGGCTGACCGTGGTGGCTGTCCTCTGTTGCAGAGCTGGAGGACTCCCGAGATGGGCTGCAGAATGTGCTGGCAGCTGTGAGGCAGAACCCCACCTTGCTGAAGCAGTTCAGGCCAGTCCTGGAGGACGCCCTGGAAGAGAAACTGGAAAGCCTGGGGATAAAGAGAGTAAGCTCAGAGCCGCTGTTCTAAGGGCCGCTCCTACCACTTAGCCCTGGGGAGTTCTTAAACCAATGAATGTTCAATTGCTCTTTACATTGTGGCCTTAGGCATCTCATATGTTCCAAGTGAGGCGCCTCTGGTACCTGGGAATATAAACCCACACAGCTGCTCCCCTCGCCTGACAGTGATAGTGTGGCCTGTCCTCTCTGTTTCCGCCAGTGGCCTCTTTTGAGATGTCAACCTGTGTCCTGACCTCTCCATTCTCTCTGCACATTGGATTCTTCCTTCTGTGTCTCTTTTTCTGACAAAGGAAATTTAATTGGTTTAATCTTGCCTCTGGATGGGGCCTCGGATGGGTGGTCCCCTGGATAGATTAAATGTCTGTTATTGGTGGCGTGGCACACGTGGCCATGCTCCATCAGCAGGTGGCTGTGGGTCAGGTGGGCACTGAAAGCCATGTCTGGTACAAATTTGTATTGGAATGCCACTGTTCCCTCGTGCTCACGGTAAACCAGAGCATGCACAATATTATTAAAGGCATCTATGAAAGCTATTATTAAATAAAAACACACCTTGTTATTAAAGAAGCCAAATACCACATCACTGAAAATAGTTTTTTTATTTAAGTGTTGTTAATATACAATCTTTTGTTGGTTTCAGACACGCATCACAGTGGTTCAACATTCCCCATGATGATCTTATATTATGACTGCAAAGTATTGTGCCCTTTATCCCCCTCCCCCTCACCCCTGCACCCACCCCAACCCCATCCCAACTAGTCACTTCTCATTGTCTATGAGTCTACTGCTCTCTTGTTCATTCCATTTTGCTTTGTTTTTATATTCCACAAATAAGTGAAATAATATGGTATTTGTCTTCCCCCACCTGGCTTATTTCACTAAGCATAATACCCTCTCGGCCCCTCCATGTCATTGCAAATGACAGGATTTCTTTTCTTTTTATGGCTGAATAATATTGCATTGTATATGTGTACCACATCTTTATCCATTCATCTATTGAGGGACACTCAGGTTGCACCCATATCTTGGCTATTGTAAATAGTGCTGTGATAAACATAGGGGTGCATATGACTTCTTGAATCAGGGATCTTGTTTTCTTCAGGTAGATTCCTAGGAGTGGAATTACTGGGTGAAATCAAATGGTATTCTATTTTTAGTTTTTTGAGGCACCTTCATATTACTTTCCACAATGGTTGAACTAATATACATTCCCTCCAACAGTGTAGGAGTGTTTTCCTTTCTCTGTATCCTCTCTAGCATTTGTTGTTCTTTGTCTTTTGAATGTCATCCTTACTGGTGTGACATGCTATCTCACTGTGGTTTTAATTTGCTTTTCCTTGATAAATTTGTCATGTGGATCGTTTTTCATGTGCTTGTTGGCCATCTGAATTTCTTCTTTGGGGAAGTGTCTGTTCAGATCCTCTGCCCATTTCATATTATTTATTTATTATTTATTATTTTTATTTTTATCAGGTTATTTGCATTTTGGGTGTTGAGGCATGTGAGCTGTTTATATATTATGGATGTTAACCCCTTATCAGATGAGTCATTTATGAATATATTCTCCACACAGTAGGATGCCTTATTGTTCTGCTGATGGTACCCTCTGATATACAGAAGCTTTTTAGTTTGATGTAGTCCCATTTGTTCATTTTTGCTTTTGTTTCCCTTTCCCAGGGAGATGGGTCCAGGAAAAAATCCATCAGATTATATTCAAGAGATTTTTGCCTACATTTTCTTCTAAGATTTTTATGTTTTTATGTCTTACATTCAGGTCTTTGGTTCGTTTTGAGTGTACTTTTGTGCATGGAGTTAGAGAATAATCCACTTTGATTCTCTTACATGTGGCTGTCCAGTTTTTCCAACATCAGTTGTTCAAAAAGCTGTCATTTCCCCATTGTATATCCATGGCTCCTTTATTGTACATTAATTGGCCACATATGTGTGGATTTACATCTGTGCTCTCTATTCTGTTCCATTGATCTATGGGTCTTTTCCTGTGGCAGCACCAAATTGTCTTGATTACTGTGGCTTTGCAATAGAGCTTGAAATCAGGGAGCGTTATCCCCACACCTTTGTTCTTCTTTCTCAGGATTGCTTTGGCTACTTGGGGTCTTGTGGTTTCATACAAATTTTAGAACTATTAGTTCTAGTTCATTGAAGAATGCTGTTGTTATCTTGGCAGGGATTGCATTGAATCTGTAGAATGCTTTAGGCAGGGTGGCCATTTTGACAATATTAATTCTTCCTATCCATGAGCATGGGATAGATTTTCGTTTATTGGTGTCTAATTTCTCTCCTGAGCTTCTTGTAGTGTTCAGAGTATGGGTCTTTTACCTTCTTGGTTAGGTTTATTCCTAGGTATTTTCTCCTCTTTGATGCAATTGTAAATGGAGTTGTTTTCCTGAGTGCTCTTTCTGCTAGTTCATCATTAGTATCTAGGAATGCCAGATTTCTGTGTATGAATTTTGTATCCTGCAACTTTGCTAAATTCAGTTATTACTTCTAGTTGTTTTGGGTGGATTATTTAGGGTTTTCTATGATATGTCATCACAAACAGTGACAGTTTAACTTCTTCTTTACTGGGATGCCTTTTGTCTCTTTGTCTTGTCTAGTTGCTGTGGTTAGGACCTCCAGTATTAAGTGGAATAAAAGTCGAGAGTGGGCATCCTTGTCTTTTTCCCAGTCTAAGAGGAAAAGCTTTCAGCTTTTTGCTATTAAGTATGATGTTGGCTGTGGGTTTGTCATGTATGGCTTTTATTATTTTGAGGTACTTGCCCTCTATACCCATTTTGCTGAGAGTTTTTATCATTAAAGAGTGTTGAATTTTGTGAAATGCTTTTTCAGCATCTATTGTGATGATCATGTGATTTTTGTCCTTCCTTTTATTGATGTGGTATATGATGTTGATGGATTTTTTAATATTGTACCATCCTTGCATTCCTGGAATAAATCCTACTTGATCATGATGGATGATCTCTTTGATGTATGTTTTAATTTTGTTGAGGGTTTTTACATGTATGTTCATCAGGGATATACATCTATAATATTCGGTATTTGTGGTGTCTTTGCCTGGTTTTGGTATTAGAGTGATGCTGGCCTCACAGAATGAGTTTGGAAGGATTCTGTCCTCTTCTACTTCTTGGAAAACTTTAAGGAATATGGGTATTATGTCTTCTCTAAATGTTTGATAAAATTCAGCAGTGAAACCAACTGGTCCATGGATTTTGTTCTTAGGTAGTGTTTTGATTACCAATTCCATTTCATTGCTGTAATGGGTCTGTTTAGATTTTCTGTTTCTTCCTGGGTCAGCCTTGCCAGGTTGTATTCTTCTAGGCAGTTGTCCATGTCTTCTAGGTTGTCCAATTTGTTGGTATATAATTTTTCATAGTATTCTTTAATAATTCTTATGTGCATATACTCTTTTCTTCTTGATAAGTCTGGTTAGGGTTTTATGTATTTTATTTTCTCAAAGAACCATTTTCTGGTTTCATTGATTTTTTTCTATTGTATTCTTCTCAATTTTGTTTATTTCTGCTCTGATCTTTATTATGTCCCTCCTTCTTCTAACTTTGGGCTTCATTTGTTCCTCTTTTCATAGTTTCTTTAATTGTGACTTTAGAGTGTTTATTTGGGATTATTCTTGTTTCTTGCAGTAGGCCTGTATTGCTATGTACTCTCCTCTTATAACTGCCTTTGCTGCCCTCCACAGATATTGCATTGTTGTTTTTGTTTTCATTTGTCTCCATGTATTGCTTGATCTCTGTTTTAATTTGTTCATTGATCCATTGATTATTTGGAAGCATGTTGTTTAGCTCTATGTGTTTGTAGGCTTTTTGTTTTCTTTATGTAATTTATTTCTAGTATACTATTGTGTTTGAGAAATTGCTTGATACAATTTCAATCATTTTGAATTTTGTGGCATGGTATGTGATCTATTCTAGATAATGTTCCATCTACACTTGAGAAAAATGTGTATCCTGCTGCTTTTGGGTGGAGTGTTCTATAGATGTCTGTCAAGTCTGTTTGATCTAGTGTATTGTTCAGTGCCTCTGCTTCCTTGTTTATTTTCTGTCTGTTTGATGTCTACCGATGTGAGTGGTGTGTTAAAGTCTAGAATGAATGTGTTCCCATCTATTTCCCCCTTTAATTCTTTTAGTTTATGTTTTACATATTTAGGTGCTTCTATGTTGAGTGCATAGATATTTATAATGGTTACATCCTCTTGTTGGACTGCTCCCTTTATCTTTTTTTTAATGTCCTTCTTTGTCCCTTGTTACTTTTTTCTTTGAAATCTATTTTTTCTTATATAAGATTCTGCTAATCCTGCTTTTTTCTCCCTATTAATTACATAGAATATCTTTTTCCATCCCTTCACTTTTAGTCTGTGTATGTCTTTGGGTCTGAAATGAGTCTTTTGTAGCAGCATATATGTGGGTCTTGCTTCTTTATCCATTCTTCCACTCTATGTCTTTTATTTGGTACATTCAGTCCATTTACATTTAAGGTGATATTGATAGATATGTACTTATTTCCATTTTATTAATTGTTTTCTGGATCTTTTTTCTCATTCTTCCTTCTTCCTTTTTTCCTTTCTTATACTCTTCTCTTGTTATTGATGATATTCTTTAGTGTTGTAGTTGGATTTCTCATTTATTTGTTTATTTATTTTGCATGCACGCATGTGTGTGTGTGTGTTGTGTGTGTGTTTACTGTAGGTTTTAGTTTTGTGGTTACCAAAGATTTAAGGGCAGCTTACTTACTATATAATAGTCTATTTTAAATTGCTGATCACTCTATTTGAAGCACAATACAAATGTACTTTTTTCCCCTTCTTCCTCCTCCACTTTTTTCATATTAGATCTTATAATCTGCTCTTCTTGTGAATCCCTTCACTAATTTTGTGTGTAGTTGATTTTGTTTTTGTTTTCTTTTAATTTCATACTTGCTTGATAATTTGTTGGTCTACTACCTTCCCTGTGGGTTTATTTTCATTGGTGGAAGCTATTTAGCCTTAGGGAAATTTCCATCTATAGCAGTGCCTTTAACATATCTTGCAAGGCTGGCTTAGTAGTGGTGAATTTCTTCTACTTTTGTTTGTCTGGAAATTGTTTAATGCTGGCTTCAAATTTAAATGATAATATTTCCAGGTAGAGGATTCTTGGTTGGAGGTCCTTCTGTTTCATTACATTAAATATATCATCACCTTCTGGCCTGTACAGTTTCTGCTGAGAAGTCTGCTGATAGCCTGATGGGATTTCCTTTAAAAGTAATAATTTTTCTTTCATTGGCTGCTTTCCACACTCTCTCCTTATCATTGATCTTTGCCATTTTAATTATTATGGGTCTTGGTGTTGTCTCCTTTTGTTCCTTTTGTTAGGGTATCTCTGTGCTTCCATGACCTGAGCGTCTATTTCCTTTGCCAGATTGGGGAAGTTTTTAACAATTATTTCCTTAAAGAGACTTTCTATCCCTTTGTCTTTCTCTTCTCCTGGTACCCCCATTATGCAAATATTGTTTCATTTGGATTGGTCACACAGATGTCATCACTCTTTCATTCCTAGACGTCCTTTTTTCTCTGTTTCTCAGCCTCTTTGTTTTCCTGTTCTCTAGTTTCCATTTCATTTACCATCTCCTCTACATGCTCTACATCTCCTCTACATCTACTCTTAAATCCCTCCATTGTATTTTTCATTTCAGACACTATCCTTCAGCTCTGAGTGGCTCTTTTTCAGGTCTTCTATCTCTTTGCTGAAGTCCTCCCTGAGATCTTGGATACTTTCCTGTAAATCCCTGAGCATGTTTATGACTTTTATTTTCAAATCTTTATCAACAAGACTGATGATCTCCATTTCATTTAGCCCTCCTTCTAGGGTTCTGTTCTGTAGTTTTGTTTGGACCATATTCCTCTGCCTCCTCATTTTGTCAGGGTTTCTGTGTTTCTTCCTCTGTATTAGATGACTCTGCTATGCTTCCTGACCTATATAATAGCTTTATGAAGAGGGCAAGAGCTTTATGGTGCCCAAAAGCCCAATATTTTTTACTCTCTGGTGCCTAGTCCTATTTTGCAGGGGCCACAGCTGCTGGCATGCTGTGGGCAGAGTGTCTTTCTGTGCTGGCATTTTGCTTCAGCTGCCACCTTTGTGATCAACTCAGGAGTCTCTGTTGAGCTTGCTGTGGGTGGGGCCACCCTCTGCCTGGCCTGCAGCAATGACGGGGCTGAAGGGAAAAGTGGGGTGGGTGAGCTGATGTGCAGGTTTGCCTGGGTTGGACACACAGCACTGGGTTTGGACACCAGCAGGGAGGAAGGAGCTCTTGGGGCTGGGTCTTGCAGACACCTCCCAGTTGGGCTGAAACAGAGCCAAGGAAACAGGGAGAATCTCCTTCTGCCTGCCAGGCAGCAAAATCTGATGCTGCTGCTGAGTGGGTTGGCTACTGGCAGCACGTGCAGGGAGTAGCCTTGGGGCTGAGTTGCCAGCAAAGGGGAATGTTGCATCTGGGGCTCCCAAGAGTCCCCGATTTGTTGGGCTTAGGAAGGGCTGGGAGAGTATCCTCCACCTGCCCTTTCTCCTGAGGAGAGATTTCCATCCAACCCTCTCTTGTCTGGTACCCCTGCCACTGACAAGTCTTTCAAACCGCCACCTCTGCTTTGGGTCTCAGGACTGATGGAGTGTGCCTGTCCTCCACACTGGCTGGAGTCTCAGCCTCTGTGTGTTCCCCTGTCCCTGATGTCCAGCCCTGCCAATCACCAGAACCAAGTGTAATGTGGGCTCATGATCACGGGGCAGATCTCCAGCCCGGGTGTGCAGTGCTCCTGGGCTCCTACCCCCTTCCTGCTCTGTTCCTCTTTATCCCACCTGTAGGCTGGGTTTGTGGGGTGGGCTTGGGTCTTGCTCTTGATCTTGGCTCTGCCACTTTACCCTTTTCTGTGTGGTCTTCTCTTCTTCCTCACATGTAGGTGGTCTGTTCATTGTTTTTACATCATTTTTTTAGTTGTATTTACTGTATTTTCTTCTTTTATGTGTTTTTGGGAGGTTTCTGCTTTGCCTACTACTCCACCATCTTTTTCCAGAACCCCCTGAAAATACTCTTTGTACAGAGTAAAATTAGAAAAAAAATACATATCTAGGTTTCATTTAGTGTGTTCACTAATCTATTTTCAGTCCCTGCTCAATCTAACTTTGGCTGTATATTCAGACTTAATTAAAACATTTCTTTCTAACCTTGAATGAAGCCTCATGGATTCTGCTTGGATGTCAAAAGCTGGAGAAACTTCCAGTAGGTGTTGGATAAGTACCTGGCTTTTGTTTTTGAAGTTGATTTTTTTAAACCTTATTAGCCATGGAGGACAATGTGTCTGGCCTAATGAGAGTGCCTGAGGTATAAAAAGGAGCAAGCCATGGGCTCCCAACCTCAGATTTAGTTGGGCGGTAGAAAAGCGTGTCCCGTCTAAGCCCCATATACTGAGATGTCAATGCAAAGTTGTGTAATCTTGCTCTGCATGCTTTGATGCGGCTCCCAACCCTAAGCCACCTCACATGCAGCAGTGTGTGAAGCCACTGCTCACTCTGCTCTGACACTCATCTCATCCTCTCCCAGAAAGCGCCTGGCCCTGATCAGTGACTCCAGGCTGGCAGCAGGTTGGAGAGGCTTAGGGGAAGGAGAAGGAAGGGAGGCCCTGTCTCCAAAGGGGAACTTCTGTCCCTTCCAGGGTACAAAGGGAATCCCTACTCAGGTTCTCAGACAACTGGAGCCCATCCTGAGAGCCCAGCGGGAGAAGGCTAGGTGGTTTCCTAAATTCCGGAGTCTGAGAGAAAAACTCATCAAGGAAGTCACCAGCAGGATGAAAGAGAGAGTGAGGAATGGGGCCCTGGCATCCCAGCCAGGTGGCAAGACTCCAGGTAAGCTGGTGAGAGGCTTCCTTGGGGACTCTGATGCAGGAGAGTTGTTTACATATGAGGAGGGCGTTATCCCTGCCCCCTTTGAGGCATTGGTCTGAACGGTGGCATGGGAGGGTCCTCACTGGTGTTGAGTCTAAAAATCCTCTGTTGGGAACCGAATCCGGGGGTGGGGTGGGGTGGGCACCAGGTCATGCAGGGAAGTGGGAGGTGAGCCAGAGGCAGTGCTGTGGCTGCCCCTGAACGTCCCCAGCTCAGATAGGTAGCTTCACCCATAATTGGGTTCTACACTGCTTTCCCTGCTTCACTCCAACAGAGAGCAGCCCATCCCTTTTCTGGCTCTATACACCAGGTATGTCGGCTGGGAGAAGGCCCAGGGCTTTTTCCACTGAGAGCATTGGGGCTGCAGGAGGGGGCAAATATCAAACAAATGAAGACTCTGCTCTGGAGCAGTGGGAGGGTGTGCAAGGCTGTGCGGGTTCTGCATGCAAACAAGCACTCAGAGCTCAGAGTTGGTTCCCTGGGTTGTGGCACAGGTGCTGCTTTGTCCCAGGGATTGTGACAAGGAAAAGCCCTGTGGCTCTTGTGGAGGATTAAAGTATGTGGATGAGGATCCTCAAGTCTCTGTCCTCAAGGAACTTACGGGGCAAGACCATTTGTGTTCCTGGGTTGGAGAGCTCCCCACTTCTAGAGGCTTCCGAGATCCACTGGACTGCTATGATTGGAAGCTTTGGGGAGGGCTTCAGCAGCTCTGGGGCTGCTCGTGCAGGGTGATGCCCCAGCCCTGTTCATGCATGGGCATACATACCCAGAGATACTCTGTGTCCAGGCACACCCAACCTCAGCTCTTCGTGCAAAGGAATTTCCAGAGTATAGGCCACATAGCTCTTGCCACATAGCTTATTTTAGTTGGCACACAGACCAATCATTTAAAAATTTACTAAGGCTGGCTGTGTTTCAGGGCGTGTCACCTCAGCTGGTAAACCGGCCGGGCAGAGGTAACATGCTGGAGCCAAGAGCAGGGGAATGGGAGCCCCAGGGAGAGGAGAGATGGGAGCCCCGGGGAGAGGGCTGGAAGCACCCTCTGAGTCCAGGCTACCAAGAGAGGAGAGCCATCTGCACTTCCAGATGCTGCCCTCCCCTCTGGCCCTCGGTCCGGTAGTCGGAAGGCTGGAGTGAGATCCCCCTGCCCCTCTCCCCTTCGCTGGCCTTGTGGTCCTGCCTTCCAGGGCATGTCATCAAGGTGTGAGATAAGTGTTGTGTCCTCACAGCATGGGTAGACCTCTTTCTCCAGCCCTAGGCCTGCTCATCCCCTTTCTAGGTCCCAAGAGTGCAACACAAATGCCCACCTCCCATCTCTGCTCAGACCGTACCTCTTATGCTTTGGGGCAAAGCTGTGGGATGCAGCAAGGCAGTGGCAGGAGCCCTGCGTTTGGGGTGGCCGACAGCCTTGTCAGCAGCTACCGCTCACTTCCATGGAATTGTGAACCTTGAAGCAAGTCCCTGAATCTCTTGCAGCCTCTGTGAAGTAGAAAACGATACCCTCTGAAGGTGTGGGGTGCTAACTGGATGTTGCACCAATGTGCATAGTTGGTGTCTGCGCACGTAACTGTAGCTACTATTGTAATTTTCCTGCAGCAAGTGTGTCTGCCTTCCTTTTCTCCTCAGTTTACTCTTTTCTCTAGAGAAGGTTTCTTCTTTGTAAATGCATTGCATGAGAGCAGCGTGTTTCAAATATTTTTGATCTTGAAACGCAGTAAGAAATACTTACACTGCACACACGTCAGAGTTTCAGGGAACAGTCCTTACTCTGACTCCCTGTGATTGCACTTCTCTCCTCTTTTCTTTCCATGAAAAAGTTGATGATTCTAGATCCTCTCCTGGCCCCCAAAGGGTGTTGGTGAAGTTTAGAAAATGAAAGGTCTGTGTCTGCCCTTCTGCCTTATCACTCTTGCCCCAAAGGCCTGTGCTGGGAGGAGGGCGTAGTGACCTGTGGCGACCTCTGGTGGCAGCGGCCCCTTCCTGCAAGGCTGCTGGCTCCAGTGGCTGCAGTTTGGGTTGGTGGAAAGGGTAGGTCTGCTTCTAGGGTGCTGCTGAGGGTTGGCGGGGGTGGAGGGGTGAGCTGAGGACCTGCTAGGCCCCAGTCCAGACCTGCTGACTCCTGTGTGTCTCCTGGAACACCAGCTGCTCTCCTGGTTTCTGAAAAGACTGTGGGTCCCAGCCTTGAGTCTGGCCAGCAGGGGGCACCAGGGATGGGGGAAACGACCAAATCTGCTGTGTTTATTGTGGGGTGTATACTGTAACTGAATGACTTGTCTATTTCTACTGTGTTGGAGTCTCTTTCTACATACATCCTCTTAGACTTGGGGTCCCAGCTGGGTATCCCCTGATACTCATTCCTACCTGTGTTTCTAGTCAAAAGCCAGCGGAACCGAATGGTTACCAAAGAATCCCAGCCACAGACCAGGACCCTGCATGTGGCAGCGCCATCCAAGCTGGCAGAGCCACCGACAATGGCTGTTCAGGGTTGGAGCAGCTGTGGCCCTGGCCCGGCCCCTGTGCCCATCCCTACTCCATGCCCCCGAGCTCATGGACCCTCCGGTACCTCTGCTTCCCCAGGGCCTGGGCTGAGGTGAGTGCCGGTGTCAGCACCCTCACTGGGCCTGGGTGGTGGCTCCCCACCTCAGGCAGCACCTGTGCTGGGCTCCCCGCTGGCTTCTGCTGACAGGTGAGGGGCAGAGACAGAAGTGAACAGAAGGGGCCACAGGTGGGATCCTGAGACCCCAAGAAGAGACTGGGGCCCTCTGCTCTTGGCCAGGGCAAACCTCCCTCTCTTCAGCAACTCTTCTCCAAGCCCTGCTTGCCACACTGGAAGTGCTGGGTCCTCGCCTTCTAAGGGGAAGCTGGTGTAGCCACCACACTCCAGGGTGATACCTGCCTGCTTGTTACTGGGGCCCAAGGAGGGGAGCAGGGCTGGCTCTGAATAAACCAAACACGTTTGCAGGTGGGGAAGTTTGGCTTTTAAAGTTTCCTTTCTGGCCCGTGCATCCCTCATTTCTCCTCCATGGCAGTACGCCCCCGTTCAGTTCTGAAGAGGACGCGGAGGGAGATTCCGGGCGGCGGGCGTCTCTTCCACCCCCA